TTACCCCTTCCTGTAACGGTTTTCACTGGAAAGGCCAGGCTAACCCCTTGCTGTTAAGGTTCGGTTGATAATGCGAGGCTAATCGCTTAACGTTCAGGTTTTTGTTGAAAAGAAAGGCTAACCCCTTGCTATTAATGTTTTTATTTAAAATGCCAGGCTAACCCCTTGCTGTTAAGGTTCCGTTGAAAATTTAAGGTTACTCCTTTCTGTCAAGGTTTTTCTTGAAAATGCAAGGTTTTTTTGGAAATTTACATTTAATTGACAGAAAGAAATAGATGTGGCATTTGTTGAGCAATAAAAATGAAAGGCTTACCCTTCCTGTTACGGTTTCCATTGAAAAGGCAAGGCTAGCTCCTTGTTCAGGTTTTGGTTGAAAAGGAAGGCTAACGCCTTGCTGTTTAGGTTTTGGTTGAAAATGAAAGGCTAATGCTTGCTGTTCAGGTTTGTAGAAAATTCCTGTTATTTTTGTTGAAAATGCAAGGCTTACTATTGAAACTTTTCGTTTGAAATTTACATTCAATTGACTCAAAGAAATAGATGTTCGCTTTTTTAAAAATAAAAATGCAAGGCTTACTCATTGCTGTTAAGGTTTGGTTGAAAAATCCTTTTATTGAATGTAACAGGTTAGCCTTGCCTTTTCAATGAAAACTGTAACAGGAAGGGGTTAGCCTTGCATTTTCAACCAAACCTTAACAACAAGGGGTTAACCTTGCATTTTCCACAAACCTTAGCAACAAGGGGTTAGCCTTGCATTTTCAACAAGGCTAACCGCTTGCTGTTCAGGTTCACTTGCAAATGCAAGGCTAATCCCTTACTTTACAGGTTTTGGTTGAAAAAGCAAGGCTAACCCCTTGCTGTCGAGGCTTTTGTTGAAAATCCAAGTTTTTGTTGGAAATTTACATTTAATTGACAGAAAGAAATAGACATGGCATTTTTTGAACAATAAAAAATGAAGGGCGAACCCTTCTTGTGACGGTTTTCTTTGAAAAGGCAAGGCTAACCCCTTGTTGTTAAAGTTCGGATGAAAATGCAAGGCTAACCCCTTTTGCTTCAGGTTTTTGTTGAAAAGTGCTGTTGTATTTCTTGAAAAGGCAAGGCTAACCCCTGGCTAATAATGTTTTTGATGAAAATGCCAGGCTTACCCCTTCCTGTCATGGTTTTCATTGAAAATGCAAGGCTAATCCCTTGCTGTTAAGGTTTGGTTGAAAATGCAAGGCTAACCCCTTGCTGTTAAGGTTTGGTTGAAAATGCAAGGCTAACCCCTTGCTGTTAAGGTGTGGTTGAAAATGTAAGGTTACTCCTTTCTGTCAAGGTTTTTTCAACAAGGCTAACCGCTTGCTGTTCAGGTTCACTTGCAAATGCAAGGCTAATCCCTTACTTTACAGGTTTTGGTTGAAAAAGCAAGGCTAACCCCTTGCTGTCGAGGCTTTTCTTGAAAATGCGAGTTTTTCGTTGGAAATTTACATTTAATTGACAGAAAGAAATAGATGTGGCATTTGTTGAGCAATAAAAATGAAAGGCTTACCCTTCCTGTTACGGTTTCCATTGAAAAGGCAAGGCTAGCTCCTTGTTCAGGTTTTGGTTGAAAAGGAAGGCTAACGCCTTGCTGTTCAGGTTTTGGTTGAAAATGAAAGGCTAATGCTTTGCTGTTCAGGTTTGTAGAAAATTCCTGTTATTTTTGTTGAAAATGCAAGGCTTACTATTGAAACTTTTCGTTTGAAATTTACATTCAATTGACTCAAAGAAATAGATGTTCGCTTTTTTAAAAATAAAAATGCAAGGCTTACTCATTGCTATTCAGGTTTTTGTTGAAAATCTAAGGCTAATACCTTGCTGTTAAGGTTTAGTTGAAAAATCCTTTTATTGAATGTAACAGGTTAGCCTTGCCTTTTCAATGAAATCTGTAACAGCAAGGGGTTAGCCTTGCATTTTCAACCAAACCTTGACAACAAGGGGTTAGCCTTGGATTTTTGAACCAAACCTTAACAACAAGGGGTTAACGTTGCATTTTCCACAAACCTTAGCAACAAGGGGTCAGCCTTGCCTTTTCAATGAAAACCGTAACAGGAAGGGGTAAGCCTGGCATTGTTAACCAAACGTTAACAACAAGGGGTTAGCCTTGCATTTTCAACCAAACCTTAACAGCAAGGGGTTAGCCTTGCTTTTGCAATGAAAATTGTCACATGAAGGAGTTCGCCTGGTATTTTTATTTTTAAAAAAAATGGCACTTCTCTTTCTGTCAATTAAGGTTTCAATTCAATTCAGGTTTCTAATTCAGGTTTTTGTTGAAAATGCTGTCGTTTTTGTTGATAAGGGAAGGCTAACCCCTTGCTGTTAAGGTTGGGTTGAAAGTGCAAGGCTAACCCCTTGCTGTTAAGGTTGGGTTGAAAGTGCAAGGCTTACCCCTTGTTGTTAAGGTTGGGTTGAAAATGCAGTGCTAACCCCTTTTGCTTCAAGTTTTTGTTGAAAAGTGCTGTTGTATTTCTTGAAAAGGCAAGGCTAACCCCTGGCTATTAATGTTTTTGATGAAAATGCCAGGCTAACCCCTTGCTATTAAGGTTTTTGTGGAAAATGCAAGGCTAGCCCCTTGCTGTTAAGATTTGGTTGAAAATTTAAGGTTACTTTTTTCCCCTCCTGTTTTTTGTTGAAAAAGGAAGAGTAATCACTTGTTAACGTTTGATTTAAAAATCCAAGGCTAACCCCTTGCTGTCAAGGTTTTTGTTGAAAATGCAAGTTTTCGTTGGAACTTTACATTTAATTGACAGAAAGAAATAGACGTGGCATTTTTTGATCAATAAAAAAGGCAAGGCTAGCCCCTTGTTGTTCAGGTTTATGTTGAAAATGAAAGGCTAACGACTTGCTGTTCAGGTTTGGTTGAAAAGGAAGGCTAATGTCTTGCTTTTCAGGTTTTGGTTGAAAATGCAAAGCTAACCCCTTGCTTTTAATGTTTTGGTTGAAAATGCAAGGCTAACCCCTTGCTGTTCAGGTTTTGGTTGAAAAGGCAAGGCTAAGCCCATGTTGTTCAGGTTTATATTGAAAATAAAAGGATAACGCCTTGCTGTTAAGGTTCGGTTGAAAGTGCAAGGTTAACCCCTTGCTGTTAAGGTTCGGTTGAAAGTGCAAGGCTAACCCCTTGCTGTTAAGGTTCGGTTGAAAGTGCAAGGCTAACCCCTTGCTGTGAAGGTTCGGTTGAAAATGCAAGGTTAACCCCTTGCTGTGAAGGTTCGGTTGAAAATGCAAGGCTAACCCCTTGCTGTTAAGGTTTGGTTGAAAATGCAAGGTTAACCCCTTGCTGTTAAGGGTTGGTTGAAAATGCAAGGCTAACCCCTTGCTGTTAAGGTTTGGTTGAAAAATCCTCTTATTGAATGTAACAGGTTAGCCTTGCCTTTTCAATGAAAACTGTAACAGGAAGGGGTTAACCTTGCATTTTTGAACCAAACCTTAACAACAAGGGGTTAACCTTGCATTTTCCACAAACCTTAGCAAGAAGGGGTCAGCCTTGCCTTTTCAACGAAAACCG